GCTCTGTGTGTGTGTGTGTGTGTGTGTGTGTGTGTGTGCGTGCGCGCACATGTGTGTGCATGTGCACCCACCCACGTGTATGTATGTGTATGTGTGTGAGCCCATCCACGTGAGTATATGTGTGTGCGTGCGTGAGCACCCACCTACGTGTGTGTATGTGTGCATATGGTGTGTGTGCACCCACCCACGTGTGTGTGTGCCCACACATGTCACTCAGTACAAAGGATGAAGCAGCTGACCACAGTTTAGGGCTAAGTCCACCACACCAATGATCACATATGTCCCTCTGACCAGCCTCTCTCTCCTACCTCACACCCACTTTCTTTATGTCAAATTCACTCATTTACTGATATTTGGGAAGCAAGAAATCCCACAGCTAAGCCACTGCCCTGAACATTTTACCAAGAGATCTGGTACTCACTGGCAATGTTGACTTCTGTGAAAGAACTCCTGTGTCCTGAGCTGAGTTTCCTGCAAGGCTGACCAACTGATAAACACTTCAATGACTATGGAGAGTTTGGAATGTTGCAGATCCACAGCCTATTCACAAATCATCTGGTGACATCTTAACCCCCATAAATAGCCACACCTTGCCTACCTGTTTCTGAATTAACATTCTTGTGACTAGTGAAATGAATTAACTTAGCAGACCACCGGGTCCCACACCAATCAAAAAGCTAAGAATGTCATCAGATAGCATCTGAGATCTATAGTAGCACCCTCCCGCTTTGCTAGACCCACCTACTCAATGTATCTACCAACGAATTTGAAAAGTGTCCTGATTTATGACCTTTCCTTGTTCTGTTACTATAAAAATGTAACTGTCACCACACTGGAACATGGAATTTGAAACAACCTGAATCTGTGTTCCCGGGCCATGGCGACTCATATTTGGCTGCAGAATAAATGATCTCTCATCCCCTCTGAGGTGATTAGTTATGCTTTTGCGTGTTTCTGTTCCACCCCAGGCTCTAGGAAAACAATAATGGCTGTGAAATCTCTCAGTCTCTTTCCCAAAGTCTCCACTCCACCCTTTGGTGTTGTAGGACCCGGCATCCCACAAAAGGTCCCATCCTGGTGGGTGTGGTGAGGCTCCTCATTCATATGGTCCCAAGCTTCCCTCAGACTCACAAGTGGCCCCTCGTTCACCAAGGACAAAACCACATCTAGTACCCTTTCCTTGTCTCGGGGTTGACAAGCTGAGATTAAAATTATTTGACATTTGGAAGTATGGAGATGAAGAGAAAGGCATTTCTTAGTCAGCTGATGGACTGAGCTATGGCAGCTCTAACTCACCCGCTGCAGCCTGTCTGCCTCCCACAGGGCCAGGCCCCTGCCGAGGCTCACCTTTCTCTTCCCAGCAGTTCAGTCTCTTCATGCTTGGTTTTGCCTGTGACATCCCACACACATTCATGTGGGACTTTGAGAAAAGGCAGTGAGGTTTTTAAGTCCTCTTAGCAAGTCAGAAGACAGCTGCCATCTGTGCATTAGCACCAGCCCCTGGCCAAGGAAAAGGTCCTTGTCCATGGGAACCAGGAACGTGACCTTCTCAAAGCATCCTACGCAGCCCCCAACTCCAGGGTCACATCATGGCTCGCCGGTCTCGCCTGGTCATAGGAGGGCCAGGTTGTGACCCACACACTTCCCGTAATGTTTTTTGTTGCACAGCCCCTCTGCACACCTCCCTCCCCACCCTAGAGCTCACCTTGTAAGGTCCTGTTCAGGAACTGGTGCCTGTGGTCCAAAGTGAATTCAAGTGCCTTTCACTTGTTCAGGGCCTGATCAACAGGAGCCTGTATCCAGGAATAGAGAGGTGGCTCCAGTGTGGGCTGGGCTGTGCATGATCTGTCCTGAGGCTCTCTTAGAGCCTGACTTCAGGGTGTGACCTCTGGTGCTCCTACCAGAGAAGTTACCACCTGAGGTTACTCAGGAGGAGCCCCTAAACCTTAACTTTCTTAATAATCATGGGAACCTCTTCTTCAGTGCGAAGCTGAAGAAGATTTTGCCTAGTGAAACAAATACGGCCATGTTGCCATTGAAGATGATTCTGCATGCTGATGGACAGGAAGTTCAGGTTTAAGTCATTGGTAAGTATAGCCAAGACTAGTCTTAATAATTGGGCTTTTCCCAATCACTGCCATATTTCCCTAACAATAGACCATACTGGGTGGGAGGGGGGACACACAATTCTACCCTTAAGCAAAAAAATACCTCAACTCTCACATTCCAAAGCAAAATTCTTGGGAAACAAAGAGGCAGATTAAGGGATGGTTAGAGCTATGTATTCACCCGCAGATGCTATCACACCGGGCTGGGTGTTCTGAGAGCACACGCAGGATCCCAGGCCAGGCCCGATGGATGGGGCAGGCTGGATTCTAAGAGAGCAGGGCACCCATGCCACCAGAGCTGCAGGGAGGGGAAGGGTGGCATGTCATGCTCCTTCCTGGTGAGGTCAGAGGGCTGGACTTCCTTCCCCAGGATCCACACTGTATACTGCTGTTGAGGGACAGCTCACCACCTCTGTTCTGTCCTCACTACCCACTCATACAGCAGAGAAAGGGAGAGCCACAGAAAGATTGTTTCCCATTTTTAAACTCTGAAAACACAGTGTTTGAAACACACTACATTCAGCAGATCTGCAGTGCACACAAAGCATGTTTGGGGGCGCTGAAGAGATGGCTCAGCAGTTACGAGTGCCTGCAGCTCTCCCAGGGAACCAGAGCTGGGTTCCCAGCAACATTAGTCAGGTCACAACTCCCTGTGACTCCAGCTCTTAACTCCTCCCAGATCCACCCCCATCTACCTACCCAGCCACTTTTGTGTTCTTTCCCAATGAGTCAGGTTTGGGATGCCCAAATACTCTTAAGTGAGGTACCAGCCCTGGAGCATGGTTGTTAGGGATAAAACCTGAGGCCCCAGAACCCCGTCAATGCTGCCCACAGAACGGAAGGACAAAATGAAAGTGACTCTTGGCAAGGCAGATTTTACTTTTGCAAAAGGGTGCCATGTGGTCAGTCAGATCCAGGGAACACA